TCATACATCTCTTAGATGATCAGAAGACAAAATGAATTGTTGGAAGTAAAACCAGGCTTCAAATATCACCTGAGTTGTAGGGCTGCTCTAGTAATACTCTGTTGATGGTAGTAGTATGGTAACTAAATAGTAGCTTATGAATTTGTATGGGTTGTCTGCCACTATATTCAGCCTTTCATTTAAAGCAACTTCATTTTTCTTAGCCTCCAAGTTAGTAGTAGGTCTTCTGATTGCTGTCAACTGCATGAATATAGGTCAGTGTCAACCTAGGAAGGAAGCACACTGAGTACAAAGAAACACTTAAGGGTGTTGTCCATTCTGTTTTGCATAAGTCATTACCGCAGTTTTACAAGTCTTGTAAGAGACTTGTAATCTTGAGATTGTCTTGTCTTTGAGATAGTAATCAACCTTTTGGATGCTAGTGAGACTAGACTTGTCAGGCTTCCTTACCCTTTTTTCCCCCGTGCCCCCCCAGCGAACATCCGACAGGACTAAGCTGCATTCTTGCCCTCTCTGGCTGGTAGCAGGCTCTGTAACTGCAGCATGCTGGCTTTTAAGTATACTGAATTAGATTCAAAAGCAGATGCTGTTTTTTAACTTGTGGTTCGAATTGGAGACAGAAGATGCTGCCTGGGAACCAAAGGGTCTCATAATGTGATTATGACACAACAAAACCCAAAACTTCCCTGTTGAAATGGTAGAGAGGTGATGCAGACAAATGTGAGAGTAATAATTCTTTCTTAGTAATAGTACTGTTTTCTGATCAGCTGTTAAGAAAGAAATTATTAGGAAAATGACTAAAACTTTCCAGGGAAAGCAAGTAGCCTTTGAAATGCCCACTGTGCTCAAAACCTGCTGATGTGTGTTCTGAATCCTTCCTGTTTCTGCTGACTTGATTTGCAGTACTTGCAAATGTTCCCAAAAGCATTTAAAAATGAGCTGAGTTAAAAGAAATTATTATGTATTGCAGTAATGATAACAGAACATGTGAAGTTTCCTTTTGCTCTTGTTCAGATGTTTGCTTGAGTCTGGGGGAAGCTGTTTTATTTTAGCACTTACTTAAGCAATAGGACTTGTTAGTAATATTTAAAATAGAACCTTTATAACTTTGTAAATGCTACATGGGAGGGAGAGGAATTGAACAGTTAAACGTGAAATTTCAATAATAATCTGAATCAAAGATGACTTCAAAACACAGCTGGAGTTAGACAACTACAGCAAGACCTTTGACTGCAGTGCTCTTTTTTTCAAATTACTCAGCAAATTGAATAATAAATGTAAAAAAAAAAACCCACCACAATTATGTTCTGTTATTGCTGGGAACTAATAAGGCTTAACAGAAGAGTTCTAGTGACTGTTACTTGGCTTAGTTTATAAGCTTGCCTGTTCCCGAGAACCTTCAGATTGCCTTCAGTTCTGCATACAAGGGACAGAAGCTTTTGAAAGTAGTCTGTGAACTACCTTTTCTGTCTTAAGAAAAAGTGTTTCAGGTACTGATTTTATGATACTGTTCTTTGATAGCACATGATGAAGGAAGCTGCTTTTTCCTTGTTAGTAGGATGGAGATGTATTTTGAGGTTGATTGCATGGCATAGCTTCCATCAAAAATGCTTCAAATATCCAAAGATCCAAGGACCTTGCTAATTTGAGCCCTTAAAATACTGGTATCTTGGAAGGATGTAATGCTTTAAATAGCTGAGTCGTAAACCTGAAAAAAAAGGAATTGCCAAGCCATGACAAATAGTTTGTTCTGAAAGTTGAAGTGGTTCGGAGTATACATACTTTCATCTGTTTGTGTTCTTCATTAAGCAGTTAGGTTGCAGTATTGTATACTCCCTCTTCTCCTCTGATCTCAAAGTCACCACCAGAGTCATTTGAGAAGATGAGAGAATAGGGTTTATACCTGTGACTTTTGTGTATTACTGATGTACACTAGCAGGGAGCTGCAGTTCAGTCTCTTAGATTCCTGGGAGCTCCAGTCTTAAAGACTGGTTAGGGTTTTTTCACTTACAGTCAAGTTCATGTGAAAGCTACCTTCTGATGCCTTTTGATGTATCTGTGAGAGAAGCAACTAATGGTATTAATGCTATTAAATAGAATAACAAGTACTCAATTAGGAACACTAAGATGGTTTCAGCTTTAGTTAATCATAATACTATCTGGTAATGGTATCAAGCATCACCTGTTCCTTTAATCAGTCACCTCAAAACAGCTGGCTTGTCATGAGTTGGCATGTTCTTATTGCGAAGAAATATAAACCCCCCTGGTTTATTCACTGATTCACTTCTCATGCAAAGACCAATTGAAAATCAAATCATAAGAGCTGGTAGGAACTCTTTGAAAAATGTTTAAAAACTGAAGTTGTCACTCTGCCTCTTCCTGTGGTTTTTTTCTTTGCCTCTCCTAAGGAAGGAATGTGAGCTGCATCTCCCTACCATGATGGAATGGGAGGACGCTTCTGCTCTCGAATACCATTTTATTGGGAAAATAGTGTAACAGCAGGTATTTACTTCCCCTGTTATATATACAGAAGACTTTATTCCTTTGCTGCTCAAGACATAGTTTGAAGGCCACAGCAGGTAGACATGGCTGAATATTTACTTTTCCCTCTGACTATATTGCTTCCAAAGAAGGGAAGAAAACCCAAAAACTTTATCCCCACCCCCTGGTCTGGATGTTTTGCTCTGGTTCTTGTAATGTTAATTCATATGTCTAGTAAAGCATACTGCCCTGGATTCATTTGTTGAATATTTTTTCCTTATGGCAGCAAACTGTAAATGTGACTTGAAGAAAGCATGTATTTAGGCAGCTTTCTGCAGAGCTGGCTGTTGTCAGAGGATCTTGACAGGATCCATTGTAGCAGGATTTCACTGTCATGAGTACCTTTAACACTGCTTCATGGATCTAAGTAAAATGTGACACGTATTGGCTTCTGTGGTAGGGACCTGAAGGCAACTTTGTGCAGCATAAAAATAGCTTTAAGGTAAAGCAAAAGAAGCTTTTGGCAACTGATATGCTGTCTATGCCAGTTAAAAAATAAAATAAAAAAAATCAACAGGTGTCTAAAGGCTCAGATTTGAAGGATATCATTGTCCATATTAAAATGGCAGTTATGTGCTTAATTTTTTCTCAGTTGAAATAAAACTAAATAAAAGAAGTTTCTAGAGTAAACATAGACAGCACTCCCCCAAAATGCATACTTGCAGCCTATAGACAAAACCTTTTGTCACTGTCTACTTCAGTGTGCCAGTATGCTTTATCTTGATTCACTGACATTGTTTGGCTTTATACATTGATGGTAGTGTTCATTCCTTCACAAACTGTAAGTTGAGTTTATAGTGGTAAGATTTCTGTTCTTTACATAAAGTCAGTAAATTTAGTGTGAAATCTATGGGAGCTGTAGATGCACGTGGCACAGGATATCTAACCGGCTTCTGCACCAGCGGATGAGAAGGAAGGAGGAGAAACTTCTGTACTAGTAAGATTCTTTATTATAGATTTAGCTGCCTATTGCGTAAATCTGAAGTTTGGTTTGTGGTTTGTGTTTTGTTTTTGTTTTTTTTTTAAATGCAGCTTGGAGCTTTTTTGGTAAGGGCAATGATTTAGGGATGGCTTATTTAATCTTTATGCAGTGCTATTCTGGCTGAACTTGCCCATAACTAAGGAATGCACGCTGATCTGACAGACTGGTTATTTTGGGCCCAGAATGCAGAGGCTAAGGAGCTTATATAGCCTTTTAGGCAGCACCATCTATCAACATTTTCCTACCCTGAGTGAACACTTTAGCATTCAGACTTGCTTGATTTAGTGGATACTCCTTTATTTCCTGATTTGGGGTAGGGGGAGAATGTTTTGCAAAAAGTGTATGTTCATAGGTAGCTCTTTTCTTCAGGAAAAGAAGTGGTCTGCCTGATGAGCTGTAAGCAGCTGTACTGTTGCATGTATCTTTTACAAGCTTCTACAATACAGCAATACTACAACATAAGGCCAAACCTATTTAGGGTGCTTTTTTTTTTTTTCCTGAAACACTTATGAATACTTTTGTTTTACAAACACTTTAAAGCTGTCATGAAAAAACACATGAAATGAGATTACAAAGGCTTTGGGATATACCTCTATCATTCTCCCTTTCTAAAAAGGCTTGCTGTTTTTATTTTGTTGCTACTGAGTTCTCTACTGTGGTGCACTTGCGTTCCTTAACACAGGAAGTGTGTTAAGACCTTTTACTGTGATAAAGGTTTGATAATTGGTTTAACAAGAGAATATGTGTATGGAAGACATATAGCCGCTCTTGACAGAAACAGGAAAATAAAATTGAGTAAATAGGTATGTACTGCCTCTTAGCAAGAAAATACTTTAAGCATATAGCAGGATAATTCAGGGACTAGATGATACCATTATTTCGTGACTGTCCTTTAGGATATAAATAGTGGTAAATTGAATTAACACTAAAATCTTCAGATTTGGGGGCTTTTTTCCTTATAAATGAATCTCAGATAAATATTTTAAAACTAGATTCATGTGAATGTCTTGTTGATTCAGTGATGGCTCAGCTTTTCAGAGTTATATATTTTTCTGTCTACCTGTGTTCTATGATTGGGAATAATTTTTTTTAAAACCCAGGAGTTGTTTGATTGTCTGACATCTGTTGATGACGGTTTGTGATAACTTTCATGTGTTTAGCACAAAATGATGTAAAGACTTATAGTCTTTTAAGTCAGAGATAAGTGGATATATTTAGCATTTTGTTCACTGTAGAGGGAATAAAAGCTGAAATAATACATTTAAAACTTGTGAAATTGAAGTACTGTGATAGCTGAACCCTCAGTTTGTCCCTCTTCTGTAGAATGATACATAGTGCATCAGATGTCAATCTTAAATGCTTGGTACAACTCTCAGTCTTGTTACTATAAGATATGAGGAACCTCTGTGGAACTGAGGAGAGGGGGGAAACCATATATAGGAACAACAGACTTAATTGGTGTTTCCTTGCATTCCAGGTGACAAGGCTCTGGATGGTTACAGTAAGAAAAAATATGTCTGCAAACTGCTTTTCATCTTTCTCCTTGGGCATGACATTGACTTTGGTCACATGGAGGCTGTAAACCTGCTCAGTTCCAATAGATATACAGAGAAACAAATTGTGAGTAACTCAGTTTCTATAAAAGATGAGCTGTTCTGTCCATTACTTTGCCTCAGCTGTATAGTCTGTAAAGGACTTTGCTTTGTTTCCCACCCACCCAGTCTTAAAATCTTATTTTAAGTGATTCTGAAATTTAAGCTACCTTTGTGCACGAGGAATCTTGTACTAATAGTAAAAGCTAAAATGTGCACTCTGCATAAAATTATTACTCTTGTTAAGAAACTGCCTTGAGTCTTGCATTAAAAACGAAGTAACCTTCTAATTTTCAGAATCCCTTAAACACAACCTTACCTAGGAAGATATAATCAGGTACACGTAATGTACTAGTGTCTGAATAATAAGGCAAATTCTTGATTTGCTCCCATTCATCTAAAATGATCTCTTGCATATATGCTGAAATAGATTGATGAAACACTTAAACTGATAAATTAGGGTAACATTAAACTTACTCAGTTTTGTTTACTTCATCCTTCTAGTCTTTGTTCTGCTATCTAAATATTTCTGCCCAAATGTTTGGTATTGGAGGAGAACTGTATGTCTTGAAGAATTACTTGTGGCATTAACAGAAAACATAATTTAAGTCAGCTAAAATAAATTTTCATTTTCCTTTTTCTGAATCACAGGGATATCTCTTCATCTCCGTACTAGTGAACTCTAACAGTGAGCTGATTCGCTTAATAAACAATGCGATCAAGAATGATCTGGCCAGCCGCAACCCCACCTTCATGGGGCTTGCTCTGCATTGTATTGCTAATGTGGGTAGCCGGGAGATGGCGGAAGCATTTGCTGGAGAAATTCCCAAAATACTTGTAGCTGGGTAGGTATGACATGCCCCCTTCAAATACAACACCAATAAACCTCTTCAGCAACTCAGTTCCATTGCAGCAGCTTAATCCATGCTTAGAGCTATACAGCTGTGTACTTGCAGTGCAAATAGGGACAATTTCCAGGAACTGCAGGTAGTTTGATGTACCTGAGCATGGAGTTGCTTGTAGAAGTGTACAAATACAACATAGAAATTAAGACTATGTCAAATATCTTGAATGGGCTTTTACAGCTTTGTGATCCATTTTTTGTTCTGTATAAATTTGTGGCAGTGGATACCCCTGAAATGCGTGTGTTTTACTTCCCTTATCTTTCCTGGTGAAAAGAAGAAATAAATTAACTTAAATAGATGTTTACACTACAAATTTTGTTCTAAACTGAAAGCTCTTATTTAAGTGGTCCTGACTTCATAAGGAACGTGAGAATATTCTGTTGTGTGACCCTTAATGCTTCATCTATTAGCCATGTAAACAGCAATTCCTGTAAATGGCAAATAGTCAACTGCCAACTTTCTAACTTTCCCTTTCTATTGCTAGAAGTTTCTAAAGAGATCTAGCAGATATCTGGAGCTGTAGTTAAGTAAATCTAAAATGAAATTTGTCATTGTAGGCCTAATTTATTTTGAAACTTAAAATGTTCAAGTGCAACAGTGCATTTAAACTCTTATGGATATGAAATGTTTTGGAATATACATGGATATTGTTTTATAACAAACTGATGTCTTACATTAATACAAAAAAGTACAGTTCTTGCACAACATGTTTATTAATACTCTAAATGTCAAGTACTGGAACTTGGAAATATTGTAAAGGTGTTTGCTTATGCAACACTAATTCTGACTGTGCCTATGTGCCCTGAGTTGTCAACAAGAGGAAGGATATAATGTGATATCTAGTTGTTGCAAAAGTAACAGAAAATACTTTTGAACTCTTGAAATAGCGTCTCTATAATGCTACACTTGAACACTGTTACTATTTTGCAGAGCTGAAATGTATGGGCCAGAAAGAGAAGAATAAGCAACTAGCACCTGATGCTAAGTATGGGTCTGGTCTGGTGGAGGAAATGGGGGAGAGTCTATCCCATAATTCCACTTTTGTCAGACATGGCATTCCCTATATAAGGGCACATGTTTAGAGATGGCACATTCTGGGGCCCTGTCAGGCTTGTTGCTGTTCTGTCCTGCACTGCCCTTGCCAGGTGTTACTTTCTGTGTAGCCTAGTAGAGACAGCACTGTGAAGGCAAGTCATGGGTTTTAATAAGATAACCTTAAAAAGTTCCAAAAATTTCACTTAGGGTCATCAATTGCAGAAAAGCACAACACCTTCAGTTTGAACTTTGAGCTGTGTTTATTTTCTCAGATCAGTATTCAGGGCATCATTCCTTCTGTGTTTTTAAGAGAAAAATATATAAAATGTGTATTGGACTAGATGACCTTTAAAGGTCCCTTCCAACCCAAACTAATCTATAATTCTATGATATCCAATTGACTTGTGCAGAATAAGCACTGTCATTTACATTTGCAACTTTAGTGTAGCTCCCTTGGTTTGAACATAAGTTGGAGGGAGTGGATAGGGAGTGGAGGAATAGGTTTGGGGGTTTTTGGGTTAGTTTTTTTTAACCGACGTACAGTTGATCTCATGGAAAATTGGTAAATTCATATATAATAGGTGGACTGAACTTCTGCTGGGGATGTGAAGGCTTCTGAACACTTAACCAAGGTTGTACAGTATAAACCACCTCTTAAAACTTTCAGTGCTAATGCTCTGTACACTTCTTTTACTTTTGTGCGACATACAAGATGCTTAACTGACTACTTCATGAAAGGGAGTTCACTGAACTAGAATAGTAGTATACTGCTCTTAAAATAGTCCATTTCTGTGCCACCAGCGTGGATGGCAATGTGAATAAATTTGTGGGTTGTATGCTTGGTGATAGCTAGCCAACTTGCATGCTAGCTGTAGGTAATGAAGCTGTTGATTAGATTCTGCATAATATCAGATACAAATTGTTAACTATCAGAAAATCTGGCTTTGGATGCATGCATAATATAGTGTACCTTAACTGTTTGGCTTGAGTCAGTTTGGAAGAAGCTTGTTCTCATAATTAGATGAGCTTGTGCTCATCTAATGATGAACTTCCAATTCTGATAAAAAGATGTGAAATGTCACTCAAAATTGCTATGAATCTTTATAGAGACTACTGTATAGGTAATGGTTGAAAACTTGGCTAGTTAAACTTAATGGACAAAATTAAGAACAACAGATACTGTAACAGAATTTAGTGAACTTCTGTTTTAACTTCTGTTGAAAAGATGCTACCTGGCTAGGGGTGCTGAGTCAGTGCAAAGACTAGCATAATGGTGGCCTGCAAGTATTGCTGTGACCTAACCACTGTATTTTAATCCATGTTTATGCCTTACAGAGATACTATGGATAGTGTGAAGCAGAGTGCTGCCTTATGCTTGCTGCGTTTATACAGAACTTCTCCTGACCTTGTCCCCATGGGAGACTGGACGTCTAGAGTGGTGCACCTCCTCAATGACCAGCACTTGGTAAACCTGCTTCATTATGCTTCTCTGTATAGAGAGAATACTCTATTTATTTATTCTTGAGTCTTTCAAGCAAATGGGTTGCTATTTTCTTCGGGCTAGGGGAAAGAAATGGAAGGAGGAGTTTTTTTAGTTGCTCTATATATTTATTTTTAATAAAGCTTTGTTTACTTTTTTCTTGGAGATACAAGAATGGTATGCACAAATTCTTCTTTTGCTCTGGCTGTAAATAAGTTAGTCTTGTGTCTTGTGATCCTAGGTCATATTGCATAAATTTAATAATAGTTTCCTAGGCCTTTTAAGATTAGACCTGCACTAAAAATGCAAGGCCCAGTTTGTTAGTGCTTGGACTTCCTTGTCTGGTGTACATGTTGTCATTCTTATCTTACTGGTTCAGAAAAAGCTATTGTTCTAGATAAGAGACTATTTTTCCCCATCTAGTTACTTTATGAAAGTATGATTATTAAGACTTGTGCTTCAGCAGTAATAGAGTGCTTTAGTCTGTAGTAATATAAAATGTTTGTGTTTATACACAGCCCTCTCTTCATGTTGGGTTGTCAGAATTCTTTCCTGGATGATCTTCTGCATCCTATTTCTTCTACTCATGCTTCTCTTGTGTAATAAGACAATTTGTATCCAGGCTTTATTTTAATACAGCTTTTTGTTGTTTTAGATGTACTGTCCAAACATGAGACAAAGCTGATACAAAAATAGCATGAAATGCTCTGCAAGCATGGCAGTATCATGTTGTTGAAAATCCTGTTGGATTTTGAAGATGCGTAATTAATCTAGCTGCTAACCAAATAAAGGACTTTTTAATGTCAGGCTTTGTCATGGGGATAAACTTTAGTTTTGTTATGTATTTAAAAATACTTGAAGTGAAAGGTGTTAATGGGAAGCATCTTAAACTGTTACAAAATTGAATGTGTTGTTTTTTCTTTTCTAGGGTGTGGTTACTGCAGCTACAAGTCTGATCACCACTTTGGCACAGAAAAACCCAGAAGAGTTTAAAACTTCAGTTTCCTTGGCAGTGTCTAGATTAAGCAGAGTGAGTCCAATGATAACCCTGATAATACTTCACTCTTGCTTAATTTACTCAGCTTTCTAGGTCAGGTTATCTTACTGTTACTTATTTATTCAGCTTTCTAGGTTAGATTAGTTCAGTGTGCCATTAAAAGCGAAGATGATTTAGTTTCAATTCATATAGCTAGTTCAGCTAATCTCTTCTAACACTTGTTGCTTACCAGGGCAGAAGGTTGTATTGGCTTGCCCAAACTTTCTTGGTGTAATCCTTACTATGCTCCAAGTCCTATGTAGCAAAAAGGTGTCTTTCAGCTACTTGTATTTGAAAGGATCCTCATGATGCAGTTGAGTTTTTTTAATCCTCATTTTATGTTACTATAACATGAAAGAGTAGTTGGATCAAAGACTGATTCTGCAAACTTCTGCACAGAACCCTCACAAATACTTTTAACTTTATCTAAAGCTTCTTACAAGATGAGTCTTCTTCCCATTCCTTCTTTTCAGCTGCTGCTAGGCCAATAATCATAAGCATTTGATATTCTGTAAATGGGTGTAGGGGGTTAGGCAGGGGCAGAGGGAGCAGGGAGGAGTGGAGAGATATTTCTGTAAGTTAGCATCTTCATGCTGGAGAACTTTGTTAGTGTTTTCTTTGATTATTTTTTTTTTGTCTTTTGGAAGATGTGCAAGACATGGGAGGATATTACTTTGCAAATGTATTTTAGACCCAGATTTATGCAGTGTTATACCCAAAATTGCTTGTAGTTCAGAGAAATTAAATTTCTTTTTAAATATGAAGGTTCTGTCTAATACTTAAAAGCAAGAGCATGCTGAGAGAAGTTCATAGCTGTTCTGTAATGGAGCAGCAAGTATTAGATAAAATTTCTTTGAGCAAAGCTAGTGGCAAACTCATGCTTACCATAGAATCAAAGGGGGAAAGAAATCCATGAAGAAGGGTACTCCCTCTGAAAGCTAATCTAATCCTTATTGCATTTCACTATGTGTATAAACCTCTTCTGTGAAAGCTATCTGTTCTTTTGCTCTGGAGTATGAATGTTACTTCGTGTTACTTGGTTGTCCTGCTTTAGTTCAGTCTGTCACAGTATCTTGTGCTTGAATTCCAACTATGATACTATACTTATGCTTTCTGTTCGCTGAATCTATGAATTTCTGAACCGAAGAAAGTCAAACTTCTGGTTAAATATTTTGGTGTTACAGGATGGTCATCCTCACTTTTAAGAAAGCAAGTATGCTTTCAGGAAGAGACTTCCTAGAGTACTGTATCTGTAAAACAGAATTTCTGTTACTAGGGAACCTGATGGCATACTTGTAGTATGGCAGCTTGCACCCAGGTAATTTACTGAATTGTAGTGACATAGTTTTGTAAGCCTTTGTCAAAAGTGACCTACATTGTTCTTTGGGTCCTTTTCATGATTGCTTGTCACTTATCTTCAGTAGCTGACATGCTGTCTGCTTATTTTACAGATTGTAACTTCTGCATCCACGGATCTTCAGGACTATACGTACTACTTTGTTCCTGCTCCTTGGTTATCTGTGAAACTTCTGAGGCTGTTACAGTGCTATCCACCTCCAGGTAATGCACAAATCACAACAGTGGTTATCTCCTTTAAGTGGTATGCTATCTTCAAAGAGGTGTGCTGTAATGTTACCATAACTTGGAGTGCAAGCACATTGTTTTGAGACAAGGATGCAGAAGTCTACTCTTGAGTGTTTCAGATTGCTAAAAACAACATAATTCAAAAGGCCATGTAGCTTAGAACAAAGTGTCAAACCAGCGTGTATCTTGCAGTTGCAATTGATTTGCCATTTTAAACATTCTTTAATGTTATGAACGATATTAAAGCCTTGAAATACATTATAGTGCAGATCATGTTTGGCTTTTGTTCTCACCCAAATAGATCTGTGGCTTAGAATTCTTTTGCAAACTGTATATTGGAGGAGGATAACCTGTTTTTAATGTGTTGGAATACTTGTGTATTCAGATTTAGCAAGGTAGAAGGCCTAAAGTAGGAATTAGGGTGTTGAGCAAAATGAAGTTGTCCAACGGCTGCTTCTTCTCCAGAAGACCCTGCGGTACGTGGTCGTCTAACAGAATGCCTGGAAACTATTCTTAACAAAGCACAGGAGCCACCAAAGTCAAAAAAAGTACAACACTCAAATGCCAAGAATGCTGTGCTCTTTGAGGCAATAAGCTTAATTATACATCATGACAGGTGAGCTGTGAGAACACTTCTACTATGAGAGGATTTTTTTAAGTGAAAAGCCATGGCTTTGTCTTTGAACACTAACTGGAATTTTACTGGGGGGTAGGTGGGTGTGGAGAATACAATATGAGGTTGCTTGCTAGATTGGAACACAATCACAGCACTGGAAATGAACAGTATTAATGAACTGTGTGGCCGTCAGCATATTTTGTAATTGCTTTGTTTCTTGCTGCTGCTTTTTTTTTTTTTCTGGTGTTTTGTGTTGACCCCACTACTCTAATCCAACAGAGATTATTTGCTTACAGTATCTGAATTTTCATTTCACCAGCGGGGCATTCTAGCAGACACTTTGAAGCATATTAAGAAATTTCCACTGCAGAAATAGTATTCTGTATTGGTGTTCTCAAACCTGTTGCTTTTAACCCTTTCACTTTCTCTCTTGTTCTGTGCAGTGAGCCAAATCTACTAGTCCGTGCCTGTAACCAGCTAGGTCAGTTCTTGCAACACCGAGAAACTAATTTGCGTTACCTAGCACTGGAAAGCATGTGCACGCTTGCCAGCTCTGAATTCTCACATGAGGCTGTGAAAACACACATAGAAACAGTTATCAATGCATTGAAGGTAAATATTTAAGTGTGTAGTCTGTTTTGAGTGTCATCTTCTCCCCTGCCTCAATGACCTCTCTCCTACTTGCCCCCCACCCCCAATTAAGCAAATAATACTTGGGGACCAAATGAATTATTCTCAGAAGTCTGCTTTAGGTTTTTTTTTTTTCTTAATCCTGCAAAATCTTGCTGCACTGACAACAATAGAAGTCAGTTTCATTTTACTTCTGCAGCCTGCTGGTAAATCTGATACTTGTAGCTGTGGCCTCCATAACACTTTGGTATCTCCTCAAGCTGTAGAATGAGTAATTCTTTCAAAACATGGGATTTCAAAATGGAGAATGCTGCGAAGACTTTGTTTACTACTATCTTGCTGGTATCAGACACTATTCCTTCGCTGCAGGAGCTTATGGGGAGCAGTAGAGCAGATCTGCTTCCACTGCAGGATCAGAAGGTCAAGAAACCAGAAAGACAGATTCCTAGGCCATGTTTGTGTGAAAAAGCAGAAGTCAAAAGAGGAAGACTGATTTGCATGTAAATCTACTTGCACAGTTCAGTATTTACATGTATTGTTCTCTCCCAAGCTCATGCTGCAGCTTATTGAAATGTTTGTCTAACTCGATGTATCTAGTCTAGCTGGGCTTCTGTTGATGCAAGGCAAGCCCAACACTAAACTTGCAGGTAGTTAATTGCTGATTGACCTGGTGACAATTTGACAATTTCAGCAGGTTATTAGCGCATTTGTGCCCAGTGGTGCCAGTTACCCAGTGCACCACAAACTCATTCACCCTAGTTAGGGTAATAGTGGAGTATTTCCTATAAGCTCCTCCATCCTTTCAGCATTTTCACAGATTTGAATAAGTGTACTATGGGAAAAAAAACTGATCATTTTGAATTTTTACAATGTTATCTTAAAAGCAGGAAGCTGTTTGAATCTCCAGTGACCTCTTTCTAGGTGACTGGAAATGTATATCTAATTTTGTTTTAAATTTGACTATATATTATAGTAAGTTTTGTCTCTTCAGTAAGCTGCATGTGCTTTCCAAATAAAGATGACGTTGTCTTGACTTTTTGGTGTGTGTCCTTTTGCAGACTGAAAGAGATGTAAGTGTACGACAAAGAGCTGTAGATCTCCTGTATGCAATGTGTGACCGAAGTAATGCACAACAGATTGTGGCTGAAATGCTGAATTACTTGGAGACTGCTGATTATTCCATTAGAGAAGAAATTGTGAGATATTTCTGTTTCCTTATTTTTTTTCATAGCTGACTTTGGCACCATATGTATCACTTATTGATTAAGATGCTGGATAGTCTGTGATAGAGATTCTTTCTAATGGTGGTTTAAAAAAAAAAACACCAAACAACTAAGTTTGTAGTCTAATAGCAAAGCATGTTCTTCATTTAGGTTAAACTAATGGGATGGGGGGCATGGAACCTTGGAAACTAGGTATTTTAAAAACTAATCCTGGTCTCAGAGCATTGCATATAGAAAGTGAAGTGAATTTTATCAATGCTTGAGCAAATACAATCTATAGATCTGAGGGTTATGTCCTCTATTTAACTGTTTAGTAGATTCATAGATTCAAAAATTAGTGTGATAAATAGTTAAGTGTAGGTAGAACTTCATACTGTGTATGCTGTAAGAACATTCTCTCAGTCTAAGAATTCCCCAAACCAATACCTTTTAATCAGCTAAAAGAGGGACATGATGTCTATGTCCTTCCTTCCAGCAGGAAAAAAATGTAAGAGTCGAAATTTCACTTAACAACCTTTCTAGAATGGTAGCCAAAACCTGTACTCGGTGGTAATTATTTAGCTTAGTTATGCGCTAAATTTCCTTGATTGGAGACGTTAACATAGAATACAGTGTTAGTTTATTACCTCTTGTACTGTCTTGTTGCTGTTGGCAATCTACCCTGACTAATCAGATAATGTGAATTTCATTCTGTATGTTAATTTACTAAACTTGCTACTCCTAAAAGAATAGGTCAGTATAAACGTAACTGATAAATTACGTGGAGGTCTCTTCCCATGCTGATTGTTTGCTTCAGGATATAGGTATTTTAGTATGACCTGAAAGTCAGCTATATTTTCATGAGTCTGATCTATCTCTGCTAGCTTGAGTTTCCATTTTTTCTGGTTTTTTTGGTGTGGTGGGGTTTTTTGAGGTCTCTGATATCCTACTTGGTCCTGTCTTGGTGATGGTTTAGAATAGTGTTTTTATGGCAAAAAAAAAAAAGTTCGATAAATTGCTCTTGATCACTTAGGTACACAGTTGAAAAGCCACAGATGCAACATAAATGCATGATGGGGAAAGCATTATGTACCTGGCAACTGGTGTGTTCTGGTACAGAATTTCAATGTTCATCGTTCACCTTAGCTGTGGGAGCAAGTGAGCAAGCCGACGCATCTCTAACTGAGGCTTCTGGGCTACCATGGGGTATCGCTAGGTGTATATGAAAGTGAATCTTGATACAGAGCTTACAGGAGAAGGTAGTCAAACTTCTTCATTCTTTTATGTGTGTTCAGGTTCTGAAAGTTGCAATTCTAGCTGAGAAGTATGCAGTGGATTATACCTGGTATGTGGATACAATCCTGAATCTGATTCGTATTGCTGGTGACTATGTCAGTGAAGAAGTGTGGTATCGAGTTATTCAGATTGTCATCAACAGGGATGATGTTCAAGGGTATGCAGCAAAGACTGTTTTTGAGGTGAGAATAACTGTTTTCAATTCCCTTTCAAAATGAGGTAGGAATTAAGTAAACGCTACATGATCTAGCAGGTCTATGTGCTTCCCCATGTTAGGGAGGAGGAAAAATATGATCCTGAATATTTCAACAAAACACTGCTGAAGCTTTCTGTAAAATTGGCATCATAGATTTTTTCATAGCCAGAGACTGTACTAAGCCAGAGAAGCTTCTCATCAATTTAAGTAACGTAGAATACACCTGGTACTGTTCTGGTTTTACTGAGGGAGGGCAGGATGAGTTATGGTGGGGTTTTCTGTTGTTTTGGTGGGTGGCATTGAATGTGCATGGCTTAGCAAGGAAATTACAGTACCTGGAAAACTACTGAAGTGGAGTAAAGTTTTCTGCATGCAGGAATCCAAAACACTCAAAATGATAACTTGATGATCCTTCTGGAAGCATATTGCTTCTGTTCAGAATCTGATAAAACTGGAATTTGAACTATTAAATGAGAACACTTCCATATGTCTGGCCTCATTGCTCTGACTTTGGACTCTGACTTTGGATTCTTCATATGAGGGTTCCACTCTTTTTATTTCCTTTCCTGAATGTTTAAGCTGACTTTCGAAACTCATCCCTGCTGTGTGTTTCTTCATACTCAATAAAGACAATATTTTTATCTTGGACAGCTTCAGCACATTCTTGCAAGGTTTAAATTAAGTATATTAACATCCTTCTGACACCCCTAAAGATCTAAGGAGAAACCTTAGCAGCACTGTGGACTTCTGAGGACAGATACAGCTGCTTGATGGGCCTAAGAGTGCTCTTAAGCAAGTATTACTTAGAAGAATCATAAAGTCATACCACCTAGCATGCTTTTCTTGTAAGTGTTCTATAATGCGTAGACCTATGGTCTGCTCTTACAGAGAAGTAGACTAGGAAACTGGACATAGAAATGACAGAAAAGATCTTTTTTGATACAGTACAGATCAATGACTATTAATGTGTCTTACAGGCCCTTCAAGCTCCAGCATGCCATGAGAATCTTGTAAAAGTAGGTGGCTACATCTTGGGAGAATTTGGAAATCTGATAGCAGGTGATCCAAGATCAAGGTAAAACACCTTCCAAAATGCTGAAGTAGTAACACTTTCTGTAAAGAATCTAATGTCTATTTAATATTCCTAAAGGCCAGTCAACAAATTATTCAGATCTTGCTAGTAATGCAGTAGGAATTAATCATGTCTACAAAACCCAAATATTTTTCTTCCTTCTTTTAAGTCCCCTCATCCAGTTCAACTTGCTACATTCCAAGTTTCATCTGTGCAGTGTTCCTACCCGAGCTCTGCTTCTGTCTACCTACATCAAGTTTGTGAACCTGTTTCCAGAAATCAAAACTACAATTCAAGATGTATTACGCAGTGACAGTCAGCTAAAGAATGCTGATGTTGAGCTGCAGCAGAGAGCTGTTGAGTATTTGAGGCTCAGTACTATTGCCAGTACTGATATACTGGTAGGTATAAAGATTTTTTTTGTTATTATGCAGAACTCTACAGCTGTGTCTTCTGTCAATAAGGAATCTCCACTAAACCTTACCTGATTGCTCAGAAATCTTAATGTGGGATTGTCCCACATTGATGATGTGGGCACTGATTCTTTTAGTCTGCCTAATTCAGCTGCAATCATCTTTAATTTAGAACTAAGATCAAAGTTGTTATTGCTTTAGTAGGACAAATGACAGTTAAAGCATGCTAATCTAGAGCTGAGAAGCAAGTGAAAGCTGGTATAGTACAGGACTGACTTGATGATGGGCAGGAAACTGTGCAGGTAATTGCGCTGAATTGTGGTTGGTTTTTTTTCTCTAGAAATTCAGTGTTGTAACCTGATACTCTGAAGTCTGGCCAGAGCATGGCATGCTTAAGTCTTGACAGCTAATAAATGTTTAGGTCTGACTTGAGGACCACTAGGTCTGCTGTGAGCTATTTTTATATATATATAAAAATA